GTGTGAGAGTGTGTGTGTGTGACATCAAGGTTTAAAAATGAGGTGGAAATCTGAGTACGATTCAAAATTCAGGGGAAAAAACATCCGAACGCACGTCTTCATAAAAACACAGTGAACACGCTGACCGGCCAATCAGACGCAGGGAAACTCACACACACCCACATTAATGTGTGTTCAAGAGCCAGAGAACACACACACACACACTGCAGCCCAGGGGCCCAGCATGTGCAGGGGCTTCAGATTAGATTAATATTTTCTAAAATAATTGAATTTGAGGAGTCTGATGATGCTGTGGAACAATGTGTCATATAAAGAGTAAACCTGGATCACAGTACTGATGGAGAATAATGTTCAGATGTCCTCAGGGTTGGTTCAGTAAGAACCAATAATCAATAAGAATCAATAATCAGTCTGTACTGCTGTTCAAAGAGCTGTAGTGCCCCAGTAAACTGTCTACTGGCACTGGACAAAATAACTGAAACACAAATACAAAAGCACAAAGCTCAAAAATAAGTTAAAATATCTTCTGTGTCCCAGTAACACCCGTACCAGTAACAATAACACCAGTAAACACCCAGTACCAGTAACACCCGTACCAGTAACAATAACACCAGTAACACCCGTACCAGTAACAACCCGTACCAGTAACAATAACACCAGTAACACCAGTACAGTAACAATAACACCAGTAACACCAGTACCAGTAACACCGTACCAGTAACAATAACACCAGTAACACCAGTAACACCAGTAATCACAGAGCAGTGATCCCGCAGTCGTTCCAGTTTATAAAACATTCCCGACTATCTGCCACCCCAGGGGATGATGGGAGTTGTAGTGTAGTGTGTGTGGACAGCTTGGCAGCATATTGTGAACCAGAGGGAGCGTCGAGTGGAGCAGCTGCACAAAAACCTCCACAGACAACAAACACTGAGAAACAGCCTGGAAACAGCCTGTAAACAGCCTGGAAACAGTCAGCTGACTCAGGGGGAGGGTGGGGGGGGGCTCCTCTCTGTAAGTGAAATGGATAAAATGACTCTGCAGCTACAGTCACACACTACCTGACATTTGTGCCATTAAATATGCAAATATAATTGGTGGCTCTCCAGGAAACTCCAGGCAACCTTCAAGGCTCTTCCAGGGAGCTCCAGGGGAGAAAAATGTTAATGTTCATGTTAAATGAATTCAGCAGCAATGATCTCAGTTTAAAGCCGCGGAGAGTTTCATTATCTGCAGCGTTGGCTCACTGTGAAGCACAGAAGTTAGCATTGGTTAGCTTCGTTTACTTTATTGCCCCAGAAGCTTTACAGACTTCATTTAGCCAAGTTAGCATTTGTTAGGAACTCATTTTACCCTCTTAGTTTACACTTTTTAGAGCCTCACTTATGGACAAACTTAGCTATAATATATATATTTGTTAGCTACAATATGAAGTTAAAGAAAGAAAAGAGAAGCTAACGTCAGTCTCTTCTTCTCTTCTGTTGTTCGTGTCAAATTATTTTTAAAACAGAACCTTTGAGTCCAAAACCAGATTCCATCAGACCACGGGGGTTAAAACTGACCTAATGAAGAGGGCCACTGTGAGTCTGTGAGGGGTCAGAGGTCGTTTACTGCACATTTCCAGGAAATACTCAGGTCCTTAAAAACCATCAGAATGTCAGTCAAGGTCTTATTCTTTCACTCTGAACTCAAACTTTCCACAAGTTCAGTCTCAACACAGTGTGAGTTCATGTCCCATAATTCAGCTCTCTCTGTGTCTTTATTTTGTTTTCCAGGTATCCGTCCGTATCCTGCAGTAACCCCGCGATCGTCATGTGAAATCCTCGCAGTGTTGCGAGCTCTCCGGGTCGAACTGAAGGATTTCTTTATTCTCTCTGGATGCAGAAGATCCTTCAACTTCTAGTCTGACGAAATCCTCCTAAAACCCGGCAGATCAACTGTAAACCGCCTCAAGGTAAAAACTAAAACCTGGACCTGCTCTTTCCTGAAAAGTTGACATTTCGGAGACGTGAGGTCTGACACATTTCATCACGGCTCAACGGCTCCTCGGCAGCTGATCTGAGTGCTGAGATCTGTTCTGAGGTCAGATAGCGGCGCAGCAGCGCTGCTGTCAGAGCCTCCAAATTAAGGTCAGACCTCCAAATATCAAAGATCAGCTGATTAAAATAAAGAGATAACGTAGAGCCGTAAGCAGCTGGAGGGGGGCGGCTCTTTGGGGGGAACCGGATCAGACATCAGACTGAAAACCTCGACGAGTTCCTGACCTGACGAGTCCTCTCTGACCTGCTTCTGTCGTTACTCAGAGCAGAAAACAAGAGTTCATTCTCCCTCATCAGGTCCTTCAGTCTCTGTTAGACCTCCAGGAGACGTTTCCTCCAGCTCATCACTTCCGTATCGTCTCTTTAACCCTGTACGTGGACCACATGTCCCTCCAGGAGGTCCTTCCACTGGAGGAAACATGATGAGGACTAACCCTCACTGAGCTGTTTCACTGCACTGTAACCCTGTGATTAGCTGACAGCAACAAACAAATAACAAATAATGTCATGAACAGGAACTATGGGAGCCTGGAGGTCTGACCTAAAGGAACTAAAGGAAGTCTGGATCCAAAGACTAAAAAACTGGACTACAGACCTCCATCCAGGAGGCAGAGCCACCATCCCCAGCAGTGGCGGACTCGTCTGAGGGGCAGAAACTATAAAAAGGGCCCCAGGAAGCAGGAAGTCAGTAAATGCTTTTCTACTAACAGAGAGAGAGCTCCAACCACGTTGGTTCAAACAACGAGTGGATTGATGGTGGAAAACAAAAAGATATTGATTTCTGTGTCTCCCACTGTTTACCTGTTTCAATCTGGAAGGTCCGTCTTTCTTTGGGGACGTAAACATGAAGTCTAATGTTTCTGTGGGCTGAAACTACTCTGAGAGTTATTTACACTCCAACATTTTATTGAGTCTGAAATCAGGAGCTTTCTACCAGAAATCCCATAATGCAATGTTGGTATAGAGACATATAGTCACATCTTCAGTTAGCTAATGTTAGTAAAACACTCACTCACTGATTTGATGTAAACTGACGAGTTAGTTAGTAGTGTTTTGCTAACATTAACTAACTTCTGAGTGCAGAACTAGAAGTTAATGTTTTGAACATTGATGTGAGAAATTAGCAGCTAAGCTAACTAGCCAGCTAGCTCAATGATATTATTGTAACATTGGTGGAAAAGACCAGAATAAGGCTAGCTATAGTCATTACACCTCTTTTGTATTTATTACCTGTTTAGCGTTGAGATGTTACAAACATAACTAGCTTTTGGTCAGCTAGCATCTAATTTCTCTCATCAGAGTTTCGTTCATAACTTTAATCTCCTGTTCGAGGTCACTGACATTAATGTGAGAAATCAGTAATAGTTTAAGCGTATGTGGCCACCAGATCTGGCCCATAATTCATTGCTGTATTACGGCCGAGGCCAGACAAATTTTTGCTAGCTTATAAACTGATTTGCTAACACATAACTTTGCTAACATAGTATATTTCTGACAAAAGCTAACGTGGCTACAAGAATACGTTAAACAATCTATATTTAACTAATTGATTTGAGATAATACAGTAACTAATGTTTGTGTTTGTGAGCTAACGTCCAGCCGCTGTATTTGGATCATAAATCCTGATAAAAGTTGTTTTCCCTATAAGATAAAATATAAACCTGACTGCGCTCTGATTAACCTGCTGTTACCTAAAGGTGAGATCACACAGTCAGAGACAGTAATGCTTTCTCTGAGCACTCGTAGCTCATTTATAAAGAACATCTTCCTCTCCAGTTTTATGATTCATTTAACACTCGCTGCTCACGCCTGCCTGAGCAGTAAATTCTTAATATGTACAACATGCTTAAATTATTGCTCCACATTCAATGCAGGATAGACACCAACGATTTTAATTTAACGATTTAACATTTGTGAAATACGTTTTCTTTTGCATACACTCCGTTACTACACTCCGTATTTAAAGGGACATTACAGTGTTTCTATCAGTCAGTCACTGGTTTCTATCAGTCAGTCACTGGTTTCTATCAGTCAGTCACTGGTTTCTATCGGTTGGACACTGGTTTCTATCAGTCAGTCACTGGATTTCTATCGGTTGGACCACTGGTTCTATCAGTCAGTCACTGGTTTCCATCAGTCAGACACTGGTTTCTATCAGTGAGACACTGGTTTCTATCGGTTAGACATTCGTTTCTATCAGTGATACACTGGTTTCCGTCAGTCCGACACTGGTTTCTATCAGTTGGACACTGGTTTCCGTCAGTCAGTCAAAGTTAGTACTCTGCTACAACAGTAGGTCTAAGGCTTCTGAGCCATGTGTAGTATTGTGTAGTATTATTATGTAGTGCTATTAGTACACTAATCAGCTATAAACTGCAGCTTAAAGTCTCTCTGTGTGTTTTCTTTATTTCTGTGATCATACGTTCAGAGAGCAGGTTTATCTCTCACTCATCAGTCTGACAAATGTTTCTCTTTATGTTCATTATTATTCCAAACAGGCGTCTCGCAGCTCGTACAGCCGCTGAGGTATTTAATTAAGTGTCTGACTGCTGATGGCTGAACGTCCAGCTTTATTGAACCAAAATTAAAGGGAAAAAAAGAAAACGTGGCCATTTGAATAATCGCCTGGGGCTTGCCTTTCAACCATTTCATTTCAATATCTCTCCGTGCCACTTTAACCTTTCCTGCTGCCGCTCCAACGCGCAGACTGAAGGAAAATAAAATGTTTCTGTGTGTCACCTGAAACTTCTCAGATTCAATAATTACCAACACATAGGTTTACAAACTGGATCTTTTTCTTTTTTCACTGTCAGCGGCTGTTTATTAAAGGAAAATACCGTACAGCTGCACACAAAACCAACCAGATTCATCTAATTCCTTTAAAGCATCCCTGTATGGAAGTCTATGGCTGCTAATATTAAAATAATTTACATTTAATTGAAATTGAATCCACCATTTGTGCCCATTTTATTTATTTTATATTGTATTCAAAAAGGCAGATTATACTTTATTGTAAAATGTTCTCCAAAATCAAAATAAAATTGATAGCTCCGTCATTGAACATTTCAGGTTTAATAATTTTAACTTAGTAAACAATGTGCAAGTTGATTTTATTGAAAACAAACTCAGACCAGGATGTGATCAAATTCAAAAGTTCGGTGTGCAATTTAATTTTGGCAGTTATTATACATTGTCAAATTGTTTGGAATTTCAAAAGTTTTGTTTTGTTCAAAGATCCTGTGCACATAAATGGAAAATCTAATTTAAATGGTTTTATTTTAATGTTGGCGGCCATAAACTTAAATAGACAAAGTTATATGTTGTTATTTCAAACAGTTTTTTAATGGACGTCAGTGATGTTTTAGTTTACAGTATTTGTAGAAAATGATCAAACAAATCCCCAAATTACTGTTATGGTCCTTTTCTTAATATCAATATATCTTTATTGAATAAATATCGTTAATGTATTTCTACATATTATATATTATATAACTGACTTTTGGTTGTTTTTCACGTGTTGTAATCGTTAATCTTCTGCTTTAATGATTTTAATTTGGATTTTTCATTGTTGAGATTTGAGTGTTTTTGGACTTCCTGGATCAGTTGTGATAAAGTTTTATTGGAGATGCCGGTAGTGGAAGTTTAAGAACTGTTTGTGATACTGGTGGTAATAATACTGTTTAAATATAGAGGAAGGATATTGAATTTACACACACACACACACACACACTCACACACACACAGAGCTGATTGGTTGCTGATAAAGAGGAGGAATAATGATGCAACCATTACAAAGTGAATGTAACTTACTCTCCTTTGAAGTCGGCACCGAACCACGCCGGACGGTGGGGCCAAATTAAACACACACACACACTTTAAAAAGAACGAGTAAAGATAAAATTACACCTAATTGGCACAAACAGCTCGGAGAAAACATGTTTTTTTTTGCGCACTGTTTTCCTGCTGCAGATTTCAGGGTTTTAGAGCTCGCTGCTATTCTCCATCTGTTTGGCGGCGGCTCCACTGCGCTGCGCTGGGACCAGCGGTCAGCAGCAAGGTGAAGCCAGCCGCACCATCTGGCCTGACCTTGGGCCGCACTCGGCGCAACAGAGGCTCAAATATTTGAGGCAGGATCGGAGAAAGGAGGGACAGAAAGAATGTGTGTCTGAGCGCTGGTTCTTTCATCAGGTTGTTAAAAGCGAAGACTGTTTGCTGCTCTCCGGTTCTTCAAAGTGTTTTAAAAATCACACGAGAGACAAACCTTCTTATTCTGAATCAGCAGAAAACACTGATGGGTTGACAGATCTTCTTTTGGATAAAAATACTGATTTACTTGGAACAAGTGTTTGTATTGTGAGTGGCTCTTTTCCACTGCGGGAACGTCACATAACATCTAGTTCTCCGACCCCTTCAGGGACGAGTTCCTGGGACTAACTTCAGGCTCAGGAGGTCTTACTAAATAATCATTCTTTTGCACTTTTTGCACATTAATACTGTACATTTGATCTTGTATATATATATATATATATATATATATATATTTATATATATATGTTGTTTGTATAATATGTCATTTTATTATCTTGGAGTGTTTCCCCTGGGATTATTAAAGTATTTCTGATTCTGATTCTGATTCTGATACAACTATAGTGCTATTGATCCTGAGTCGGCAGGCAAAACAAATAAAATTAACAAAAAAGTACAAAACTGGTTCTTTACACTTGGGAGGCGTTATTGGGATTGTGTTTAAAGTCTATTCTGAACGAACAGAGTTAGGTGGTGACGGTATTTGTTGAGTTTTATTTTGTTTCTGCCTAACCCTAACCTAAACAATTAACTGTTTTTCTTAAATGGAGGTTGGTGGCTTTGAACAGAGCGATACTACAGCTTGTTTAGTACTGGCCAAATTTCACAGAAAGAATAATGTATTCAATATTTACAGTGTACCTCTTCACTTCACTGTCTGATAAAGGTATAACGTGCAGGTTGACAACATACTGAAGTTAAACTCTAACATGAACAGTTCCCTCGCCAAATTGAAGCAAAACAACAAAAACCTGGTCAACAAATATGGAAAAAAAAAGATATATTAATGACTCTCCTATTAAACTCTGCTACCAAATCTTTGACCTTCCGCCCAGGTAAAACCGACGCGTTCAAAACAGTGCAGTCAATCTGATTTATATCACAATTTAAAACGTACTTCGTATTTATTTATTTATTTATTTTCCTTCGGTCCATTATTCCTCGCCAGAAGAGACAGAGCGACCACCTCGTCCCACAGGACAGACTGAATGTCAGCATCCATCTTTTCATATTTCCAGGCTGCTGTACAGTTGGATTAACGATGAAATCCACATCTTCAGTTAATGGCCATCCAGACGGCCGAGAGACACATACTCCCACAAGAGAGAGAAGAAGAAGAGAGGGAGAGAGAGAGAGGGATCCTGCAGTTGGGAGCTCTGTAAACTCCTCTCTGAGCTTCAAACAGATCTGTATTTCCCAGGAATTCTCTCCAAATATCTGCTTTCACTTTCCACCTGAGGGATTTTGAGTGTGTGTAGTTCACATAGATCACGGAGTTTCAGTGGAGGCCTCTGCACAACGGCTGAAATACCGCAACCTCCAAACGCCTGATATTACAGCAAAACAAGCACATCGCTTGCAGATGTTTCCTCCAGGTTCCTCCCTTCACAGGTGCTTCATCAGCACAGGAAAACGGGAAGATTTCTCCTTTAACTAATGTAATCGACCAATCACATCGTCAGATCATCAGCAGATAAAATGAATCACATTCTTCATTTAATATTCAGTTAAACTGACTGTTGCCTGCATTACACTGACCACCATCAACAACACGACAACACAGAGTATAAATCACTGAGGTTAAAATGTTTGTGGATCCTGAATCTTGAATATGATTCTGAACTCTGTCGGCCACCCGGAACTGATGGAAAAACTGCTGGCTGTACAGCGAACAACATATTACACCAACAACAAACAAATATCAAACAGATGATACATAACACACAATGGTACACCATTATACACACACACTTATACACACACTCTATACACACACACTTATAACACACCACACACACACTTATACACACAACACACACACACACTTATACACACACAACACACACTGTATACACACACACAGAAACACAAAATCATTCTTAAAGGTGATTTATTGTATAAATAAAGTTTGTTTGTTTATTAATGTACTTTACACACACACACACACACACACACACGGGTGGTCCTGAGGCGTTACAGACCCATAATAATCTGTATCTGTACAAACAGGCCATTTTTTTTTTTTTTTTTTTTTTTTTTTTTTTTTTTTTTTCAATCAATGAGACACTTTATTTACAAACATCATCAATGATTTTTTAGAAGGAGACGAAAATGAGCTGTTGGTTTCACGGCAACCTGCAGTTAGTGTGTGTGTGTGTGTGTGTGTGTGTGTGTGTGTGAATCACGACAACCTCGAGGGTCACAATCTGCTGAAACAAAGCATCATGGGAAATGAAGGCTGCCTGTATGCTGGACCTGCCAGCCGTGCTGACTCCTGTTTCCTGTTTGAGAAGCTCGCACACCAGCCCGAGAGCAGACGAGTGTGTCATCAATCACCAGATCAACCAATCAGAATCAATCAATGTCTGCAATATTCTTCGTGGTAAAAAATAAATTTAATTCGATATAAACTGTAGTGGTCCACTTCATGTTTGAGGCTGACCTCACAGTGAGCGCTCACAGTGACCTCAACAGTGCCCCCTCCTCCTCCTGGATCAGGAAATCAGCCCCCCCCCCCCGTGGAGGACTGTGGTACGTGATCCAGATCATTGCAGGTCCTTGCTGTGGATCTCATTTTCTCCTGCGATCCAGCGGCGCTCCTAAACGCCTCATCAACATGTTTTAATCAAATTAGCGAGCAGCCAACAAATGACGTTTCATTATTATCGAGGATAATTCTAATTGCAAATTCAAAAATGTATTCTGTGGGAACAAGGTGGTTCAGTAATATTCAGGGAAATTTCATATTAAATGGGGTCGCGCTGCATTATGTATGCTAAGTATGCGCATTGTTCTTTTATTTTTAACTTGCGGGCCCATATGCGCGGCTTGCCTCGTCCCCGGAGCAGGTGAAACAGGCCCCTGAGTGTTTTCATTTGGCCTGAACAAACGCCACGAGACCGCTTGTCAAGTGCTGTATGGTCGGTGTCAATCTCCGCTCCCGCTGCCACGGTTTCATTTCCTGGTTCCTGAACTCCGCTTTGATCCGGCGGTGGAAGTGGCGAGTTGTGAGTTGTGGCCGACAGGAAGCTGGCAGCTCGTGTTTTTCACCGGCTGTTTGTGCTGCCAGCAGTCAGTGATGACACTGCAGCGTCAGCGCAAACAGAGGCAGGAAGTGTTACACAGGCAGGAAACAAACGGCACCTTTCGACCACCACCACCTGCACGCCGCCACCACAACACACACACACAGATACACACTGCCAACACACACACACACAACCCACACACACACCAGACGACACACACTGCCAGTACACACCACCACACACACACACCGTCACACACCACAACACAACACAGATACACACTGCCAACACACACAAACAACAACAAACACACTGACTCTGCAGTCACTCAGTATGGAAGTCACCATCAGGAAACACAGGCTGCGTTCACACTGCAGACACAAACTGAGCCAGATCTGATGTTTTTATGTACAATGCACAATACCATGCACTGCACCAGATAGAACTAAAAGATCATTTTCATCTGTAGATACAGGGCGGAGGTCACATTAGACTGTTTTTTCATGATAGTGTGAACGAAACAAATCACATTGAATCTGATCTTGTCAATTCTGATTCAGTACTTTCATATGTGGGTCAGAATTTACGCTACTTGTTGCTACGTTGCTCTAGACTGACATCCTGTCCTCTGTGACCTGTGACCTGTTCACACTGGAATCTGAAATGGGCCTGGAGCATTTCCAGTTTTTCCAGTGAGCTAAACTTTGGAGCAGTATTTATTTATACCAACATGCTAGCATGACATGGTTGGTACCGACGGATGTGTTAGGTCCTGTAGTTTTATATGATACCAGTATCTTCACTCCAGCTTTAAAGCAGAGACGCTGAAAGACAGTGTGAGTGGAAGAGGGAAGGATAATCCTATCCGATCTCAGGAGTAGCCTGATATGGGCCACATTTAACAAAGCCGAACAAAAACAAATCATATCTGATCAGTAAATCAGAATAGACTCGCAGTGGGAACGCAGTCGTTAACAGGAGTGTTTTTAGTTTTATTTTTCAGCATTTTCTGTCTCTTCCCGCCTTCAACAATCAGCTCCGAAACAACTGACGAGTTAAACAACTCAAAGCTGCTCACCTGGAAAGACTTTAACATGTCTGACTGAGAGAGGTGAGGGAGGAGGGTGAGGGAGGAGGGAGGCATACCGGAGGGGAAAGACTACAAAGCAGATTTGTAGCCTTTGAGATAATAGGTGTCATTAAATTTGTAGGCCCTTTTCTCAGGATCGCTTTTAGACAATCGAGTTGTTTTAATGTTGGAGGAGCTGCCCAGTCCTCCATTTGGCAGAGTCCCAGATCAGCTCCATCCTCCTGTTGGAGGAGATGAAAGCTCCGCCGTGGAGAGGCCAACAATGCCTGGCTTTTTGGGGAAAATTGAACATCATTTACACAGAATTACTGTTTCTATTTGAACTGCGGGAGGAACGAGAGCTCTGTCAGAGACATTAGACGGAATACTAAAACCTGCAGCCCCACAGGTGAAAAAAGCAACACTTCCCTCTTTAACTCGGCTGCTGTCAGAACACACCGGAGGCTGGGACCTTGAATGTTTGATAAATAGTGGAAAACCTCCACAGCAGCAGCACAAACTCAAATCAAATCTTTATCGAGATGATCTCCCCGACGGCGGCTCGTCAGACCTGCAGCTCCCTCCTCGACGCTTTCCCCCCCGAAGCTTCGGCGGCGTTTTGTGAGGTGTTAACACGACGCAGGATCAGAGAGGAGGAGAAGGAGGAGGAGGAGGTCCCGAGGAAAAATAAAGATTAATTAAAAAGCAGCCGAGTGTGAGCGAGCGCCGTGACACGTTAGAGGACCGAGTCACTTAATGAACTGAGATCACAGCTCCGCCTCCTCCTCAGAGATGCAGTTTATTAGGCCGACACACACACACGCCGTCCGGACGCCTTTCACAGCACACGGCGGAGCTCTAACTGCGGCTCTTTCTGAGGATTTTATGAATGACTCATCAGTCGTAACCCGAAAACAAAACCTGCAACGACGGCGCTCTCGAACCTTTAGAAAGTTTCTGACACCAAGAAACAGAAACTCTCAGTTCTCTAATGAAACATCTTTTATCACCGGAAGAGAAATATTCATAATTCTTACATTTATTTGGATTAAAGAAACCTAACAAATGTGCCTTATAGTTTGTTCACACAACTTCCTGTCTTAGCTGATATTGATCCTGATCAGCCAGCGTCAGTAATCAATACAAACATTAGAGCGTTAAGATATTGCAGAAGTTAAAATAAAAGAATAACTCATCCAGGTGTGACAGACAGACAGACAGACAGTTTTTGTGCAGTAAACCTGTTTGTGTGTTTTTCTCTGCAGAATTGTGTCTGTCAGTCGGCGTCCGGAGTCTCAAAGCTGGAAAACCTCTGAACGTCTCTGTGGACGACCGACTGAAGGAACCTCGGCCCGGTACTTCCTCCGGACCGGGGGACGTTTCTGAACCAGACCACTGCACGGCGGCATCTCCAGACTGTCTGGCTGGTCATGAGGAAGAAGAAGAGGAAGACAACGACGAGAAGGTGTCTCACTGCTGCAGGGTCTGTGGGAAGTCCTTCGACAGGAAAGGCTTTCTTATGAAGCACGTGGAGAAACACCTGAAGGAGGCAGAGTGTCTTTGTGGTCTGTGCGGCGAGCGCTTGGAGTCGAGTGACGGTCTGAGGCTGCACCTTCAAACGCACCGCGACAGCAGCCGGACCTGTGACATCTGCGGCAAAAAGTTCCCCTCGATCCGCGCTCAGGAGACGCACCTGCGGCTGCACACCGGAGAGAAACCCTTCAGCTGCCATGTCTGCGGCAAAGTCTTCAACCAGAAGGGCAACATGGTGACGCACATGAGGATCCACACGTCAGATAAGCCGTTCAGGTGCAGCGTCTGCCACAAAGAGTTCAGCCACACCGGCTCTCTGGAGCGGCACATGAAGACCCACGACGGACAGAAGCCGTTCAGCTGCAAAGTATGCGGGAAAGGCTTCAGCAAGAGTGCTGAGCTGAGGCGACACGTCCGGAGCCACGAGTCCGACGACGCGCCCACCGCCAGGAGCCGACGCAGGAAACCGAGTCTGACTCCGTCTCACTGCTGCAAGGTCTGCGGGAACGCCTTTCACAATAAAGGTAATTTTGTGCGGCACGCAGAGACTCATTTAAATGATCCTGAATGTCGCTGCGGCGTCTGTGGAGAGCAGTCCGAGTCCTCTGAGAGTCTGCAGCTTCACATCCAGAGCCACAGAGAAACCAGCAGGATCTGTGACATCTGCGGCATCAGCTTCAGGGACATGGAGATCCACATGAGGACGCACACCGGCCAGAAACCCTTCAGCTGCAAAGACTGCGGCAAGGACTTCCCCAGGAAGGGCTCTCTGGAGAGACACATGAAGCTGCACGCCGGCGAGCGGCCATACATCTGTGAGTTCTGTGGGAAGACGTTCATTGAAAACACCGTCCTGAAGAGACACATCAAGAGCCACACAGGAGGGAAGCCGAGGATCTACTCCTGCGAAGTCTGCGGCAAGAAGTTCACAATGAGCCAGCACCTGGACGTGCACAAGAGGATCCACACTGGGGAGAAACCGTACACCTGTAGAGTCTGTGGGAAAAACTTCCGGCAGATCGGCAACCTGGACTCCCACATGAGGATCCACACGGGCGAGAAGCCGTTCATCTGCAGCCTCTGCGGGAAGAGGTTTCGCCAGAAGATCTCGCTGGAGACACACGAGCGGTTCCACAAGAAGGAGAAACCATTCAGCTGCCAGCTATGCAGCAAGGGCTTCGTCCAGAAGATCGACCTGAAGAGACACATGCTGACGCACACCGGGGAGAAACCATACAGCTGCCGGATCTGTGGGAAGAGCTACCAGGAGAAACGCTCAGTGGACTCACACATGAAGGTTCACACCGGAGAACGAGCCGCAAAAGAGTCGACTGTTACGCCAAACTTGAAAAGACAGGAAGGAGTTCAAAATGACTTCATCCAGCTGTGACCGACAGAGGAACTGACTTCATCCAGCTGTGACCGACAGAGGAACTGACGTCTTCCAGGAGCTCAGGAACTTATTGAGGAACTTACTTTCCACCGCAGGATCAGAGCGTGTGAGTGAACTGGGACTATCATCCCTCATCGGTCTGTGGAGCTCTGAACCTCCAGTTGGGCTTTACAGTCGTCTCCATGTTGGTGTTTAG